AATATTATATAACATTGTCACACCGAACGCTTATACGAAATGGTATTAAATTAAAGTAATAATAATAATGATAATAAATTAATAGGTGAATAAATAAATAAATATTAATTATAATACTATTATTTATGTTATTAAATAGCGTCGATKTCGACGGTATGAAGTGAACGAGTAAATTTAATAATAACATCATCGAATCTCTGCCTGTCAGGCATTGTTGGTGGGTATGTATGATATTGGCGCCAGCGGGTATGACAGACGGCCGACGCTGGCCTCGTCGTCCGCGTCCTCGTCGCCGGCCTGTTGGCCCGGCCCCGAACCGTCACCGGACTGGGCATTGGCCGAAACGGCGGGCGCCGCGTGCACGACGCTGCGGCGGCGGGCCACGTCCGATCGGGTGATGCGTTCCGCCGTTCTCGTCCATGGTGAGGTGCCGGGCGTAACTGTACGGCGCCGATGAGTACGACGCTCCGTGCACAAGGTGTTCGTGGTCGTAGATGGCTGGTTTGGTGATGATCTCGTAATGCGATGTCTTGCCGTAACCACCTCCACCGCCTCCGCCGCCACCTCCGCCGTGACCTTTGAGCGCACACACGGCCGCCAGGACAAGCGCTAACATGGCCGTCATTAGTGCCTTGCCTGACATTGCGGCCAGCGATGCAAATGCGATTGCTGCCAGCGTGCCGGCCGACCATAGCGCCGCTTTCATGCCGTCCTTCTTTCCCCGTCCTAAGTGCGAACAAACAAACAAACAAATGYAATCGGTTACCGAGTTGTGTATGATCCGACAGCGATCACGGTGGCTATTTACACAAGTCGTGGTCGTCGTCTCGTTTGAGTTCAGAACTCGCGCCGTGTCGGGGTAGGTGTAAGCACCTATAGGTATAAGCACTCTAATCTAACCTTTTTTGCGACTCGTTTACTCAATTGCGCACTCGAATTTTTAATACCCGTGATAAATGACCCAAAACGTAGGACTCGTTTGCGTASSTACATAAACCATGGCAAAAGTCTACTAAAATCCAAAACAATTAACAAAWATAATGTTTGAGATTGTGTTTCTAACTTTTACAGGCTAAGGAYTGTTTGTATACAACAGCCGTGATAAAAATGTTTATTTTTGTCAATTTAACTAATATCATTATTATATTAATTTAATTTGTTACCTAAATGCCTGAAACATTTGTGRCCAAAAACTTTTGAGATTACGTGTGTCTTATCGAAATTTGCACTGCAAGTTACAATATAAGTCTAATTTAATAATATTGTACGCAAACGAGTCGTCATTTTTCGAGTCAACATTTGTATTAGCTGGGTTATCACGTTTTCCTATGAACACAAACGAGTTGTCAGTTTCCAGGTAAAAAATTGTGTACTGTGCGCAAACAAATATCACCGCTGGGTTACTGGGTTAGGTGAATAGGTGGACATAGTAGTGTAACATGTTCACCTATAACATAATGGATGACAGTGAATATAATGTACTAGGTATTGAAASTTAAATCAAAATTAATAYCAGCAATACATAGGTTGTTTTAATATTTGATATTATTTATAGTTGTATTAGAAAAGTGCGAGGAAAAGTGCATTTCTATTGTGTTACGAGAAGAATATTTTATATAAAAAAAACCATAGCTGTATTATTGACTTTGTGTGAAGGCGAGAATTTAAATGATGTACGATGTACCTACTACAAACTTTTAATGTTTTATTTCTTTAAAAAAAATATTATCGATTCAATGCAGGAACGTTATCAAGATACTTAAATGTCTCAGTTCATTCAGATTGTTATAAAATATCGAATATTCACACGAGGTATTCAGTAATTTTATTATGAAAACGGATTATAGTAAAATAATTATACACAGGTACAACTATTTTTAAATTTAACGTCTGAAATATTAGGATTTATTGATAACGTCATAACAGATACCACGTTAAATCGYTATGTATTGTGTTAGCGAGATTTTTATAAACACGCTTCAAATGTGTTATACACAATAAAAGTAACGGTAAGAAAAACAATGTTCTGATAAGATTAATTTAAATAGAAAAAAAAGAAAATCGGGTTATGTTTGATCGTAACTAACTATATACATAGTAATAATGTATATATGAACGTTTTCGTGACCGCTTTTACATCTACATAATTTAAATCTACTTTGCAGGTCCAACCTATACCCAATAATAATTGTTTTCAAATGTATATTCACGAAAAGGTTATTATTTTTAACATTTTAAGGCTACGTGACAAACCGAAACAATTATATATAATTGTTTCAATAAAAAAAAAAAAATAATGCCTCCGACACGGACGACGTGTGTTCGTGTYAAAAATCACTGGTTACATAATRGTATTATTAATCGATTCGTGAAAACCCTTTGGTTGACAATAGTCGAAAAAGCGATCGAGTGAGGAGGACGAAAGATAAGATAAAAATATAATAATCGATTAGATTAAAAATATTATTATATTATTATTATTCTGTAGAAAGTACGTATTATATCGTTATATTCGAGTATTMTAATCGTTAAACATATTATTATGCAGCAGAATATATATATTTTTTTAAAGCATCTTAACTAAATTATACGTAAATACTTATTTAATCACAAAATTTCATAGACATAATATTGTGTCTATGTAAAATATACGTATTACAATTGACTTCTAGATAATATAGACGAGAATTAGGAATGATAACGCGTGTGAGTATAGATGGAATTTGTTACGAGGATGGTGCTTATAATATTTAGAAAATATTAAAATTAAAAGAATAMACTGTTGTCAGATCAAATATAATCAAACAACATTTATAAGAGACAATTGACATCATATTAAAACAGTGCTATATGTTCGATCTCATTTAGACGTATTCATACATTATTGATGAATTCAAATCAGTTTTCAGTCATGTGTTATCTTTTTTTCAGGTCCATTGGTATGATTGAAAAGAGTTTGGAACATTTTGGTTGAGATAACTGACCGTTTGCGGTTTTCTTAGTTATTATTTTTATTTTTTATTTAAATCTGGTTAGCAGTAACAGAGTATATTATACGGAAGTTCAAGCCTTAACCAACGCGCGAGCATAAGATAATAAATTATAAAACGACATAGTAATGATTGTTCATTTTGATTTCATTTGTTTAACCTTCATCGCTTAACACTAGCTATCGCAGATCAGCTTAAAATATCACTCTGATGACAACTACAGTATTAGTATACGAACGATGGTCGTTACGTAACGCCATAGATGCAAACTAAGGGTGCTTAAGCCATGCATATTAACACTTAAGTTTTTTTTTTGTAAGAAGAACATTTTGATACTAAAACATGAACATTATTTGAAGGTGGTAATTTTAAAATTGGGAGGGCTTATTCCCACTAAGTCCCCCTATTAACGCCTATCCGTAACKATCGATGATTATCATTACCAGTTTCCAGCAATCCTGTGGGCAGTATGTTGACGAGCATTTGACTACTGAGATGGCGAACCTTCTCCACCACGGCCGAGTCGACTAGCTTGACGCTGATGGACAGGCTGTTCAGATATCCATCGACCTTTTCCATCAGGTACCCGTCCAGCTCATCGACCGAATCGTTGCCCCGAACCAGCGACCTGACCACTTCAGGAGGTATGCCACTGTGATGGTGATGCTGTTGATGGTGCTGATTCTGCTGATGATGGTGATCGCCGCTTGAGACCGTCGTCTGATTTCCGTCTGAAGCCCGGACGAGCGACACGCCGGGAACCAGCTGATAGGCGCGGGCCGTACCCAGCCGGTCGATCAGCCGGACCAGGTCCAGTTTCAGGCACGTCATCGTGTACCGGTGCAGACATTTCTTCATCAACACCTGTTGCGCAACATATACGCGGGCGCGCGCATACACAAACGACGGTATGTAATAACAACTGGCACGTCGACGAGATCGCCGCGCGAATATAGGTAATAATAATATTATATCATTTTATATTTCAATATTTCCACATAATATTTTTACAAACGACCGTCTCAACAGCGAACATTCGACTATTATGATTTTAGCATTTTCTTTTTAAAAGTCTCATACGTATTTTCATGTACAAGTAATAATTGATAAATTAAGTTTTCTACATAATTGTATGTCCACGTAAGAATATCGACATTCAGGGAATTCTACACTAGTTACTGTTTTTTTTTTTTTTTTYYTGAKAAAAATRCACTTWTACCTTATACGTTCTGTTGTGTACATACTTAGGTTTAGGAACTCTGTAAATAATGTAAATAATTTTAAAAACATATTTGAATTTATTATGAAGGTATTTTTTTGATCCTTCGACAGTGATCGTAGGAAATATTACGTACTCGCTTATGTTATAATGTTCATGTTATATGAATGATATAAATCAGACTTAAACGAGTTCTAGCATACCGACTGAAGTTTTATATCGATAATAGTTTTGAAAACTAACTTAATTTTATATTTAAGTCAACTTTAGAGCCCCATTTGTAATTTATATTAATTTATGAAACTTAGAAAACATTTGGTATTTTTATAAATTCTAATRGAAGAAATTATACGAGTACTTAGTTTTATTTATTTTTTATAACTCTGAATTAAATAATTCACAAAAGACTTCGTAATAAATTCAAATATGTTTTCAAAATTATTACCAGAGTAAAACTAGTAATTACTAACTTAATGCGTATAGGTGTAAGTACGAGTTTTGTGTTAAAAACGGCAGTGTGCAATTCCGTATAACTTTTAAATATTAATATTAAACATGTTTCATGGATAAAAAAAATAATCAATACTTATCGAACTAATAATAGKGTTCACCTCTAAAAGAATCGATATGTATAATATATATTTTTCCTGTTAAAATCTCACTTGTTATTAGGGCACGTGAGCATTTATGTTCAGAAATCGTTATTGTCGTGGTTGTGGGACAAGTGTGATAAAACATTAAGGGGTAATACGTATCGATAATATGTGTCATAGATATCGTATTATTTTCATAATTTGTATTGTTGGAGAATGTTATTATATTTTTGGAATTTTTAATGAGTCCGAGGTGTGTTGTTGTTGACACGGCCGTTTATCGGAGAGTCGGGTTGAGGGCGTATTTATATAATTTATATGGACTGATCCATTTAACGTAAGACACTAGTCATTTTAGAAACACATTTTTATTTTATTTTCCTGAGCAGAATATTATTCATAATATTTCGATCTATAAATTTAAGCTTTGAACTAGTTGTTAATCAGTTATATAAGCTTGCTTATATTTAGTTTGGATAAGTGGAATAATGGGCCAACAAGATACCATTGCACTACTCCTCCCAACACACTTTAAATACTATTATAACACATAAACTACTACAAAATTCAAAGTTTATGCAAATGTTTAACAATAGTAAAAATATATGTTTTACAAAAACATAACTTATAATTATTTAAAAAAATATTTTTTTTTTTTCCAAAACGTTGATAGTTCTTAAAATAACGAGTGTCTTACGTTAAATGGATCAATCGGTAAGTATTTATTGTTCATTAGTGAACTCGTGCGATAGGTAATAATTGTATTAWAATAGTAAAAAACGCGCGTAGAGGAAGATTTGAAAAGCATTACGCCGAACACAAGCACAGTGGCGTGACAGAGRAGAAAAAAAACTAAAAATTCGTAAYTATCCTTGAATCCTAAATTTAAACTAAAGACGTATAATACGGTTCTATAAAAAAATCGACATCTAATAAATTAATTTAAAGTCTCATCAAGTAGGTAGAACTAGAATAATATTTTAGGATGGCTCATGCATTTAATGGCAATATTTATGAATCCGTTTAATACAAAATATCACACCACTATTTGAAATGCTTAACTTGTATTTCACGATGTAGACTATTTTTAATTAAATAGATGTATAATGAATTGATAAACTTGAAATAAACTTAGAACGATTGGAGCAAATTTAATGCACGAAAATCGATGATGATTTTGTCGTTTGAAATTAATTAGTGGAATTAATTATCTAATTTATTTCAAACTCGAGTATATCAATGAAACTATATGTTTCTATCATGTTGTGACAATCGTGTGCAAGTCAGGGGAGGTGATGGTGGAAGTTGAGATGATGGTGGTACACGTGGAGCACATATAAAAATGGTGGAAAGTAAAAACGAAGAAACACGAATTTTCTAATTACCTGCTTGAGGAGTTCCGTGTTGGCCGACTCGTCGTACTTGGACTGGTGTTGAGCGGTGGTGGTGGTCGTCGGTGGTTGCAACGATGACAATAATTGCGGTCCTCCGCCTCCGACAAAGTCCGGCACCGCCGAGGTTTCGGTTTGCGCGTGCACCGCCGGGTTGGCGTTAAGCAGGCAAGTCGCGCACAGGGCCACCGCGATCGCCGCGGAAGCGCCGCGSTTTTTCCGGCCGCACACGTATGTCCACATGATGGAAATGATGATGACTGCGGTGGTGGTCGATACGAAACGAGACTGCGCGATCGGAAGCACGACGGAAACCCGTGCAACGCGGCGAGCTTGCAGTAACCGCGGTATAATATTATATTATGGACGAGGAGGACAACGAACAGTAATCTTATGACGAATCTTGCAGAGCTGACCTGTGGTATCGGAACGGAATGAACCCACGAACTGGAGCTCTCCGATGGCGCGTGGGTAGTTTTTATAGAGCCGTGTAACGAAACGATTACCGGTGGAAATGTGCGGTGCGCGCTTGCGTGTGTACGTGTGGATCGAGAGACGGAGGATGGAATGAAAAAAAAAACACGTTGGAAATCGTTTTGCACAGGTAAAAGTAAACGGCTGGTGATTCGGCACAAACCGAGACAATGTGTGTCAAGAGGGTAGGTATAGATGGCTGCGAGATTTCGGCGGAAAATTAATTATCGCACGGACGGCGTGAGGCGATGATTTCAATGGGCTCGCGCGCGCGATGGCCGTTTTTTTTTTTATTGTAATACCTACTTAGCTATATTGTTGACGTCGGAAAATTTTTGTTTTTTATCCGCTTTTGTTTTTACTCATTAAACTATACTCGTGCCGGACATCACCGCCRGCCAGTCTACCGGCGAGAGAGTACGATTTACACGTCATGTACATTATAGGTATACTATACATTATTATTATTATTATCTTTACACAACGAGCGCGGACCACCGGCCTGATTATTGATTTCGTCCGCGATTCGTTTGATACGTATCATGCATGCGTACATGTGAAAACGATGCCGAACGCTTGTTTGCGCGGGGGGCTTAAAACCAGCGCGTTTTCACTGTTTTTAATTTTCCGTAAATTCGCGTGCGTTAACAAACACAACGAAGATAATATTATGCTTATGTATATAATGGCAACAATACAACATTAAACTATATATTATTATAATGGCAATTACCTATGTTCTGCCTATATATTATTATTATTATTATCATTGTATTCTATAACTAAGCCGTAACCGGCTGATTTTCGAAATCTTCCATCGAAAATATAATCGTGAATCTGCTCGCTTTGCAGACCACGGACGCCACCGCCGTGCCGCCAGTTGGCAAAACGGTTCCGCAGAGGCATCATCGTAGTCGTATAGTTTCATCAGCTCACACTCATCATTTCTGTCGTCGTCTTGTCGGTAAAATGAAATAGGTGTCTGTAAAAGGTGCGGAGATATTAATATATTATACGAGGCTTACCCGCTGCAGCGGTATAAACCGGTCGACAGACCGACGACGTCGAAACGAAATCCGCCGACGGGGGAGGGAAGGAGAAGAAAAAAAACATCCGATTTTATGTGGAAACGTTTACCGACGCTATTGTTTGACGGTTCACTTGTCGCGACAATGTTTTTTCGCCAATTCACGCAAAGACAGCAATAATTATACATATATACCGGAGGTGGCGGAGGCGGATCACACACCCCGACGACGACGGCGCCGCTCGTTAGCGGTATAATATCCCATAGCTGTTGTCAGTCATTAACCTTCCGTGCACTTCAGTCGTCATAGTTCTCCTTGGCGAACGGCCATCACCGTAAAACTTTCAATAATATTTTAGTGGTACTACAAAAGCGGTATATTAATATAATATACAACTCACACCGAGTCCAACGATAGATATGCACCCGCCGTGGTTGTCACTGTGCCCTGTCGTCCTGTACCTGATCGCCGGAGCAACGGTCCTGCTGGCCGCCGACAACGTCACAACGTCTACCCCGGTACAGGTGCGGTATACTTACATTGATAATTTTATAACATTTAATATTATAGTTGTAAAAGACATTTTATGGCGATAGTGCGCGTATCATGATAGATAAATATTATCGATTATGATATAATAATAGTATTTACTAATTTAGTATTTTATACAAAATGACTCATGCATGCCGGGTAAAACAAAAGTACTTATAATTGACAATGAATTTCGATTTATATTTCATTCAAATTATTTTATCTTTTCTATCAGGAAAATTTAGATTTAGCATATTATGTCGAATATCTCCATAATATTATGTTTATTTATTTCTCACTGCATCAACAATCATTATAATTTGTATACGTGTTAATCAGGAATTAAATCGAATACCCAAAATATTATTCAGTGATTTTGTTTAGAAAGAGTAGGATAAATGATTTTATTTTGAAAACATTTTACAAGATATTTGTGTTACCTATTTATTTTACCCAGAGACCTAGAGTTAAACAAAAAAAATTATTACAAGATAAATTTACTGCGAGAAATGTTATACTTTCTCAACCACAACTAAATTGAGGAGGGTTTTATTTTTCGTTTCATTTCGTTTTTGTTTTGTTTTGTTTTTTTTTTTTATATATGTATAAGAAATGGCTTCGACAGTATAGTTATTAACTTATATGTGTTAAATATCTATACATCATTTAAATCATGTGTGTACCTATAACAAGAATTTATTCATATTTCTATAATTAATTCCAACTAACCCAACGATGAGGCATAAAAGTCGTGGCGAATTTATTATAAATTCATATAAAATGATTAAAATAGAATTTTAAAAATGGCACTGTTTTAAGAAAAAATCACTATAGTATTTTACTTATTATAATATATTCCTATATTCTATCCAGTGAGAAAACTTGTCAATTCTGCACATACTTCGGTCAACTTGCTTTCGAAACAGGTACCCCTAATAACAGAGGGTCACGTAAAGATGTGCAGAGGAACTGATTTTCGTCAGTCTGTGGGGTGCTCTCTCGCTAGACAGAGTATGGCACTTTTAAAATTTGAAATTACCGTAAGTTTTATTCTATGCAACATCCGTCCTTAAAAATGAACACTTTCCTTATGACTATTCCTAATCTTTATGTTAGAGATCTTAACACTCAATAACTCTACAATATCCTTTCGATGGCTGAATAGAAATTTCAACTATATTGTCTCATTTTTATTTTCATATAATCTACTGTCACTGACTTCTATTAAGTCTTGACTCTTTCAACTTCATATATAGACATGATCATTTCCTCCAGAAAATGTTTCACAATATAAATTATATCCATTTTGACCTATAATCTTGGAGTGGCCGAGTGGGGAAGCTTTGAGCCCAATTCTCAGGATTTTAATTTAATTTATGTGTATCCAATTATAATATTATCATTAGATCTTATATTTAGTTTTAATTATGTATACACATTTTATAAAATATACTGTATACAAATGATTATCTTTCCCAAATTTTTTAGAACTATACTTTATAGATATTCCTTTATGTAAAAAATAATAAAAAACATTAAGATAATATTTTAAATGTATTATGTATCATTATATGAAAATTATTTTTGATACTGAAAAAACCGTACAAGGCTTGTTCACTAAAATATGGTAGTAAAAAAATAATTTAATACTTATTATGTTACTTGAATCACTTAATTATTTTTATATATAAATGACAGACCTGAGCTAGTATAGAGACTATTTCACTATACAATATTCTAATAATCGAGTGATTTAGCTTATACACACACACACACATATCATATTTAATATATATTATAATTTATAACCCAGTTATCTATGACATTATTCGTGATGGCATAAAGATATAATATATGTATATATATATTGTAATTATTTTTTCTCTTTATTGTTATACACCAGTGTCACTGTGTCGAGTTCCTTATCATATATTCTTTATCCTAGATTTACAATTCATTATCAGAATTCAGAACATTAAACACATGGATAAATGAATCCGTACTGCCGTAAAACCATTTACAATGGCGATAAACCATTCGTGTACTGCATGGTTGGCCGATGAAAAATCTTTTAGGTTTTWTTTTTTTATCATCCTGTATTCGTATTTCTATWTGTTCCATTGTTTTATATTGTTCAAAATTGGAGCAAATACATTGGTTTAACGAATTAATTCCAATAATACCAATATGGTAAATTAATACGCCTTGTAGAATATACGTAAACGTATTAGTGTTACATTAATGTAGTTCAACACGTTCGTTAAAAACTATTATCACCTAACACAATGGGTCGGATCAGCATAAAACGACCCGCCAAGATTTACATCGTTGACTAAGTTTTCTATTATTTTTTTTTGTTCAAGTACCTATATATTATTTTAATTGAATTTTCCAATTATATTTTACAACACTGTCACGCGCAGGCAGTTCGATTGTGCGCACGCATTTATACGTCGCTCCCGAATTATGTCCAGCTCTGAAACTTCTACTGAACAGAATTTTTTTTTTTCATTTTATTCAACAAAATACTTGACATTCTTGTTACAAACTCGTAAGCTGATTAACCTACGAGATAAATACTTCAAATCAAGTAACATCGTCTAACATTTTATTTATTTATAAATTAAACTAAATAAATTACATTCCACTATTGCAAAACGCATCACAATCATTACAATCATAYGTCAAGCACAAACCAACCACAGGCATCGTCRCGCGCGGTGATCTTTGGACTCCGATAACACTGACAATAAGGCCTCCATGTCCCCAATTAAAATTGTCAATAACCAAATAATCAGCAAAAATAATGAAGACAAAAATAAAAATAAATGTTACTTATCTACATCGCCCACTCCACCACAATCACCATCCAATACAGCTTGCATTAAGAAAGCTAAATCGTTTGTTACGCCAAACAGGTATAGCGTTCTATCTGTTGACAAGCCTGCCATTGAAAACCTTAACATCATATCTAATAATTAAAACGAGGAGCAACTGAATACCACCAACACCACACCGAAAACAATTTTGCCTCCACCTATTTTCATAAAAGGGGTTATTAACTACATAGGCTTGCTAAACCAATTTAAACAAATCATCGGGCCAAACACCTTCTCGTGTAAATTGGCCTCAACTCATCTAGAAGTTTAAACTAATACCCCAGACAATTACAAAAAAAATCGTTCACTTATTGAAAGAAATCAATGCACAGTACCACACATACCAGCTCCAATCCAACAAACCTCTAAGAGTAGTCATAAGGAACCTTCACCCGTCTACTCCAGAATCTGATATGACAACAGCTCTAGAAGAAATAGGATACATGGTTAGAAATGTCACCAATGTTAAACACCACCGAATCAAAACTTCGTTACCCATGTTCATTATTTAAATAGACCCTATGGAGAAGGCGATTTCGATATCTTCTCTATTACTTCTATTTTACATACAAAAGTAAAAATGGGAGAGTCCCATTTAAAACGACAGATACCACAATGCAAAAACTGTCAAAGCTATGGACACATTGCTCATACTGCACGTACCCACCCATATATGCCAAATTTGGATAAAACCACCACTCATCATCGTGCACAAAGATCTACCAGCAAAATGCAGCCTCTGTTAAGGGGTRCATCCAGCCAATTATAAGGGATGCACACAATATATCAAACAATTTCCCGGAAACACAAAAACACCTTAAGCAAGAAAGCTTAGCAATCACTGCCGCCTACTAGTCTCAATATCAACACCAATCCTGAATAACAACAGCAGCAACTAGGCCCTGAAAACGCACCCAGGTCACGTACGTATGGAAATGTAACTGAAGGTCACCAGTCCGCAAATTTGAATACCCCCACAAACATCAATGAAACCTCACTTCGAAAATTCCTTTACAAATTCAAATCTATTATAAACCCTCTTATTTCTCTCCTCACCACCTTTCTCTCAAATCTCATTAACACTAACAATGCCAAATAATAACGCAACATCTCACTCTCTCCTCATCCTAAATTGAAACGCAAATGGTCTAGCAAAATACAAAGACAAACTCTTAGCCATATTACAAAATAATAGGATTGACATCATACTTATATCAGAAACCCACTTCACCACCTCAACACACTTCTACCTACCTGGGTTCCAAATCTTCAAAATTAATCTCCCTGATGGCTCCGCATACGCGGGAGCCGCCATCATAGTGACATCTTCCCTACTATTCATCCTATCTCACAATTCAAAATGGATCAAATTCAAGCCAGTGGCATACAAATAACACTTGGCAACATTTCCTTAAATATATTTGCAGTATATAGTCCACCACGACACACAATAACCTTAAACCAATTCAACGACTTCTTCCTTACTGTTGGTCTTAAATTTATAATAGGAGGTGATCTAAATGCTAAAAATATACAATGTGGCTGTTGCGTAAACAATCCCCATGGAAAATTACTTAGGTTCACAACACAAAATTGAAACTATAAAGTACACTCACTGCCACAATCAACATACTGGCCCACTTCACCCAGAAAAAAACCAGACATTTTGGACATATTTATGTCAACAATTTCTAACAGCTTCCACAGTCTAATTACCAAGGCTTGGAAGTTCTAGCAAATGCATATTTTTATTGGTTGGTCTTAGGACATTCAGAGTAAGATACAAAATTGTTTCAAACTTATCTAATGTCATATACAAAATTTTATTTTGCTAATTTTTGCATATTTGTGATTTTTAGTGCTATTTTGCTAATTTTGAGTTWTARRTGCTATTTAAAAGCATATTTTATATAAAAAGAAAATAAACTAAATTGTATTGAATAATGAATATTATGCTAACGAAAAAAAAAACAGTACATTTTAGTTACTATTGCCGATCGCACAGGTTATTCTGTTTGAGTTATTTTTAAAATTTTATCAAATGTACTGCAGTTATCGAATTCGTTCGAAGGTTAGATAGAAAATGTYCACAACAGAAAATGTTCCAGAGCCGG